ATATAATATTAAGAAATCACTTTGTACTTTATAAATTTATATACAATGGTGCTTTGGTTCACAAACTTAATTCATTTCATGATGCTGGCTACAGAATTCATTCCACAATTCTGGTTGCAACCAAACTGCAAGTAGTTGCAATTGTAATTGTAAAGGCTCAATGTACATTAAGAACACACCAGGAAAGTGGGAGAAGACAATACAGGAAGTCAATAGTATCTCTGAAACTTTTCTATAAATCTAAAATTATTCCAAAATAAAAACTCTTTTTTTTTGTCATTGAGTTTACTGGTACATTTTAGGTCTACAGTACAGTTACATTCATCATTGGGATCTTATACCTTTACATGACAGGTCTTGGTTCTCATTTTTTCCCCTTACCTCTGCCCTCTCTTCACCTTCCCTCCTTCCTTCCCTAGTTATTAAAACTTTATTTACATTTTTTCATTTTCTCGTATTTTTTTTTCCCTTATTTCCTTTCCCCTACCCTTCCCACTTCCCCTACACCTTTAGCCCTTTTCTTCCAATTACACATTGTCAATTATACCATTAGGATCTTATTTACAATTATAGTTTTTCACACCAGAGAAACTATTCATTATTTACATATTTGTGACTCATTTATTTCACTTAAGAGTATAGCCTCAATGTACATCCATTTTCCTATGAATGACTCTAATTTCTCATTCTTTACGGCTGAGTAGTATTTTATAGAAAAACCAAATCTTCTTTATCCAGTCTCCAACTGATGGGCAAACGGGCTGTTTCCAAGTTTTAGCTATTACAAACTGTGCCACTATAAACATGGGTGCGCATATATCACTATGGTATAATCCTTTTAATTCTTTTGGAAAGATACCCAGCAGAGGGATGGTTGGGTCAAATGGAACCGCTAATCCTAGTTATTTGAGGTATTTCCATATCAATTTCCATAGTTTAAAAAGTATAGAAAATTAAGAGGAAAGCCCAGCCAAGAAATGGACAAAAAACAGAGTGTTATGGTTTGGATCTGTATGTCCCCCAAAGCCTCCTGTGCTCAGAGGCAGGGCTTGTGGAAGGAGATTGCATCACAGGGACTCTGCATCTGACCTGCTGCTAGGAGTGAGTCATGGGGGGCATGGGTGGAAGTTCTCGCGCCCAGGCTCCACCCCAACCCTGTCCCTTTCCACTTCCGGACCACCATGATACGAGCAGCTTTCCTCCCCCAGGCCCTTCCCCTACAACTTTCCTGCGTTGGACTCAGCTAGCCATGCAAGGGCTAGAACTTCTGAAACTGGAAGGCAAAACAAATCTTTCCTCCTTTAAGGTGTAGGTGAGCGCCAGAAATTTGTCCCAGTGACAAGGAAAGTGACAAAGAGTTTCATGAGACATGTCCTGTTTATCAACAGTCTTAAGAAGAGGAAATTTTAGGGCTGGGGTAGCAGTTCAGTGGTGGAGCAACTGCTTAGCATGCAAGAGGCCCTGAGGATGAGAAGGAAGAAAGCGGGAGAGAAGTGGGAGAGGATGAAAGGAGGAGAGGAAGCTTCAATATTAGAGGGTAGTAGCTCGCATGCACTCAAACTAAGACAAATAAACAAAAATGACAGAGGCTAGCACGAACTGGCACGTGGGTAAGGAGGTGTACTCTAGGATATTACTGATGGGATTACATGCTTTCTGGGAAGCAATTTTGCAGTAAGTGATAAAAGCTATAAAAATGGTAAATTTGGAACTGGTAATATCAGTTTTAGCAACCTCTACCAAAGCCCTACTTTAAAAGAAAAAAGAAAAAAAAAGCCGGCTTTTTATGCAGTTGTAGCTGTGCTGTACAATACTGGAAACTGCCCCCAAGGCTACTGGTGCCTAGACAAGTTATGCTGCCACTGATTAAATGGGATGTTAGAATGAAATTAAGAATGACATTGAGCACTGTGGAAAAAAAGACGTGGCATAATTTTTTAGAAGCTCACTACATGCAGCACAGGACCCCAGGTTGATTTATAGAACCAAAAAAGGACATTAGTGGGTGGAAAATCTAGTTTCACTGTACCATGAGTACGCAGATGTTAATATTAGGGAAAGTAAGACAGAGGCCATATGGGAACTTAATCTTTCTAACTCTCCTATACATCTATAAAGTACATCAAAGTAAAAAGTTAAAATAAAGAAGTCAGAATTGCACACAAACTTGCACACATACTGCCATCAACTAAAAAATACATTCATGGCATTAAAGTTAGGATGGCTCAAAGAACACTTTCAGTTATGTACTCGGCTCCTTTGGAGGGGTGTGTGTGTGTGTGTGTGTGTGTGCTTGTGTGTGTGTTTGTGGTATTGGGGAGTTTTACCTAACGCCCCATGCATGCTAAGCAAGCTTTATCTTCAGCACTTTTTTTTATTATTAAATTTTGAGGCAGGGGCCTCACTAAGTTTCTCAGGCTAGGCATGAACTCCTGCCTCAGCCTCCTAGTAATAAATATCATTTTTAAAGAAAGACTATTTTTTTGTTTCAGAGGCACTCAGTTCCTTAGTTCTGGCAGGCTGAAAGAACTGTACAGAGTTATTAAAGAAAGTAACTTACTTCTACAAAGGAGTCTGAGCATTCAGAAAATGTAGGCTTTGCACTTCTCAGTCTGAGATGCTAGCTCTGGGCCCCAAAGGAGGAGTGAACAGCAAGAAGCGATACCTTCCCACCGTCAAAGTAGGTTCATCGAAGTCAATGCTAAACCTACACTAAATTCTCTAAAACTGGTTTAAAAAGATAACTCCTTTAGAGCTGTTAGATTCTGAACTATGGCGCAACTATGAAAGAGCAGCCTGACCTTCTTTCTGTGGCTTCCCCCATGCACCTCCTCTGGGGCCCCCGGACCGCGAAGCCTAGGAGCTGCCCTGCCAGAGTGCCCTGCAGCCCAGCAATGCCTGCACACCCGCCAGCAGACTGCACACCAATAGCAGACTCTCCCCTCTCCATTCCCCACTTCCTCCTAAGCCAGGCCCAGCTTGGATCACAAGCCTTGTAGAAATGACATGACTGCCCAAGGGTCTGAAAAAGCCTGTGGCCGTGTGCTCCACTCACAGTCCAGTCCACGCGTCGAGTCAGAGCAGACAGGTGGTTTATGCTGTCACTGTCACAATCCCCCACCGACCTCTAACATGAATTACGCTTGGCTGTCCATGGTGTCTCAGGGCTGACTGGGAGCCTTGGCTTGCTGTTGCTGCCCAGCACAGGGACAGAGCATCACGCTGCTTGTCACCAGGCTGGAAAAAGACTAGGCTTCAAACCTGATTTTCCTGTTGGGTACATATCACTTCCACACCACTGCAAAGTCAAGGAACTGTAAGTCGGGGACCATTCATTTGTGATCCACAGGGCCCATTCCCAGTGCCCCTCCAAACAAAACCAAAACAAAAACTAACACAAACACACCTGTAGGTCAATGCTTGTTACTGCAAATCCTATGATCTGAAAAAGTATGTATGTTTCCTCTTCTCTATTTTTTCTTTCCTTTCTACATTGTTCCAGCCCAGACTGATACACTGATTATCCCCCTATATTTTCTTTACTTCACACACACAAAAAAAGGATTTGTTTTTGTGAGTCTAATGGGCAAAGTAGGACAGAAATACAAATGACATAACAAACGTTTTTCTTTTTCTTACTAGACACAGCTTTGGCAATTAATGATGATGCTCAGCCTCCTTATTAACAGGAACAAATCCATAATAGTGCTGGAGTAGACACGCAGACAACAGAAAGGCAGCTGATAAAGAACTCAGGAAACAATACAACTAGGAGGAAAGAAGAGGAACCCCATCGCACCCGCTGAGCTATCACAGGGCAGCCCTCCTTTTCCAGTCAGCACCCAACTCCAGCACCCTCACCTATCTTTGTCAATTTCACACCCGTGTTCCCCAGATAGCACAGAACAGGCTGATGTGCTGCTTTTCTTCCCTCCTCCCACCTCCTTGTAAAACACCTGCTAGCAAAGCAAACCATTCACAGCCTCCCGTCCCATTATACTGCATCCACTGCCTGCCATAAAACTTAGCTTCAAAAGCCCGCTTGTGAGCAGCAGCCCAAGGGTCTGTTGTGAATGCTACAGCTCTAGAGTGGCCTAATCTTCTCCAGGTGAGCCCAGAATGAAGCTGAGTCCCCAGGAGCTCCTCAAAGAACAGGTGGCAAGGTGGCAACTCCTGGCAAAGGTGCCAAGGTTTTGAACCTGCATAGTGATCCCCACTTATCTACTAACCTATCTGCTATTTTATTTCCAGGCACAGATCTGCTTTGGGATTCAGAACAAATCTCGGTGGCATAGTAAGGAAGCATTCCCTTCTCTCTGTGGAACAGGAGTTAGTAGTAGGGAGAGGAGGTAGGCAGGGAGGTGGCAGGATTTCCCGCTTGCTCCATCGTTCCACTGGACTCCAGTTATAAAACACAAATTTGAGTCAAATGATTAAAAATTTTAAGACAGCGACTATGTAGCATTAAACCCCATGCAAGGGACCTATCTGAGCATGTGGTGGTCAACAACTGCACTGCTGATGATGGTTTCCCACCAAGCCCAGAAATATAAAACACAGATGCCAGCCTTCCATTTTTATCATACAACAGTATCCTCAACCCATTTCACCTAGCAGAGGCTGCTCCAGCAGAAGGAGCAGAGTTTCCCACCTGCCTATTGTGCTGCCACTCCCATGGCTCTATAAGGCAGAGTTGGCTATGTCTAAAAGCTTCTGAAGCCCATCTGTTTGAGCAGCAATTTTAATTTACTACACTGTGCAAAGAACTGATGTAGTGAGATACAGGCTGTCGTGATGGTTACAGAAATATCTCAAACCTAACTTGGCTTAGGAATTTTCTTAAAGTGTCTGGGAGATTAAGAAAGAGAGAAGATCAAGGGTTAATTACTTATTAAGTGGCTCTGAGTTGATGGTTTGTAAAAATTGGGCCACTATCCAAAACCATTACTCTAATGCAAGAATATAATAACCTGGTTGCTGAAAGCAAGAGTGTTACAAACCTTGGCTTCTGGGTCACTGTTGATACTACAAGAATCATCATCGTCAGCATGAGGGGCATTTCTAGAACGAAAAACAGAAAACCGGTCTTAGATTTCTATGGCAAATATGAACAGCAAAAGCCACACGCTTGGGATGTTTCCAGCACCCTACCTGAGTTTCAGAGATGCATAGCGTAGTGTTGCTCCTTCAAATTCTTTTAAACTAGGATCTGGGTTAACTGTGGCTGCATGCAAATCCTAAAGGAAGACAGATCCTTGTTAATGCGCAGTAAGGGAAGGGGGCTCGTTACATTGTCTCAAATATCAAAGGGGAGCAAAGGCCCCCAAACAGAGGCAGAGATTGTGTGGGAGCTTAGGCGGGAAAAGGCATGCAAGGGCTGCAGGAGGCTGGTTCGGTGCACAAGCGGCTGCTCTCACAGGCCAACAGGGGACCTGGGGCGATCAGCTTCAGGTCACTCACAGTGGGAGATATGGAAAAGGGCAACACAAGTGTGAGCTGCACGCCCCCAGCCAGAAGCCCCCTCACTCCGTCCCTGCAGAATGCACGATATTCACGAAGGAGAAAAATAGACAGCCACAGCCATGCAGAAAGGAACAAAATATTAAACGATCTAAAATCTGACAATATACTTGCCTTCCAAATGTCACTATTAATCTTTCCCCCATTCAGAACAGCAAAATCACTCCATGGCTGTTTCTAGACATATAATTATTCACATAGGAAAAAAGCACATTGATTTAACAGAAAAAGGGGAAAAAAACACAAGACACTGTTGTTAGCATTGATATTCACAGGATGGGTTAGGGAACAAATTAACTCTAACAGCAACTTGTTAGTTCGCTCTAAGACTAGCTTATCACCTGAAGGTGGGGCAGGAGGAGAGATGGTACATTCATTACTTACCACAACAAATGACTGAACACTGTTAGAAGCAGACAGTGAAGTTATTTGTTAAATGTGGTCTTAAAGGCTTCCAAGCATTAAATCCCTAGTATAACTATTCCATAGGAACCCCTCCCCCTTTCCATCAAATACGAGGGTTTTCTAAAGATGGGGGTGAAATAGGGGTGACATCGTGCTGTTTAGAAACTGAGGGAATGCTCTTTGTGAAGGGCACAAAAATCTGGCTAAGGACAAATTATTGTCACTTAAAGAAAAAGACAGAGGAGAGAGGTTAGTAAGAAGTAGAGACTGACATTGACACATTGATGAAGTTTATGTAACCCAGCAAAGAAATGGCCTCAAACAATGTAAGGTAAATTTCTCTAATTCATAAGCAGTGCCATTACTTTGTTACACAAGCCTCTTCAGACATTAATATCTGGGAACAAAATGATTTCCTAAACATAATCACAAAAACATGGAGCCTTCCCTCATAGAAGAGCTCCTGCAATAGATCTTTGCATCTAAACAACTTCTGTCCAAGAGACAAAGAGGTGAAGTCTTTTCTTTCTATTATAACAAGGGAATAGTCCAATATTTTTCATCTAATATTTGCAAAAATAAATTAATAAAATTCTGTGATGGTCTACTGACTCTTTAGGCAAGTATCTTTTCTATGGTAACAGATCAACAAAGGGCACTTTTCAACCAAAGGTCTTTGAAAATGAGAAGTAAATGCTAACCTAGAACCTTTATTTACATTTATATAATTTGTAAGCTGCTAAGAGCAGATGAACTGAAGTTCCAGTGTCCCATGTGTGAAAAGATACAACTATTCGATGAGGTAAAAGTATCATGAATGAGATCCCTTATCATTACCACACAGGTGGGGCTTGCTCTCTTCTACGGGGCACCCAGACTGCAGTGTTCAAAATACAAAAGAACTCAGATCACTACACTTATTTTTAAAAATAATCTCTTTTAAGGACTAAAAGGGATGGAATGCTGCCCAACCCCTTTGCTCTCTCCCTTAAAGTAGGGTCTGGTCTGTTTAAAGCCCAGCTCAGCCTGTTAGCTCAGGGGACCTGTGAGCCTGCGACACAAGGATAGGGTCTTGGGCATGGGTGTTTCCTAGGGAAGAGATGACCATTGTGCTTTCAGAAGGCTCAGTGATCAGGGAAAAGGTTTAGCCACCATTGCAGTGGTTCTAATAAGGACTCATGATAAAAACCTAAAATATCAAGTACAAAATAAATTATCAAGTTAGAAGTTCTTTTTTAAAGCAGAAAATAAGCCAGTGTGGTTCAAAACTGTCACCCTTGTTTTGCAGGGGAGCAACATCTGTTTCTCATCTAAGCTGAACTCTGAAAAAGGCTATGAGATAATGAACTAGGGACACTTGAGATAACTGTGCATATAAACATTTAAAGAAAGATTAAAGAAAAGGAGAGGTATCTACTAAAGCAACCTGAAATAAGCAATCATTCAAGAAGGGCTCTGTGCTGGGACTGGAGAGGTCAAATGAAGAGTATTTTCTAAAACCAGAGTCCAGAAAAGCTTCAGCACTTAACAAAAACAGGGCTCTGTGCTTGTGCGAGTTTTTACTTTTTTAAATATATCTGCTCCTTGGACACAAGAGTCTCTGAAAAGTGAAGATGATTACAGGTTTAGGACCATTGGCACCCAGCCCTCATGGAGCAAGAGGTGGCCACCTGCCAACAACCACCTTTCACATATTTAAATAAACAAAGGTCCTACACAGAGAATTTGCAAAACCTTACAATAACATGGGCAGTTGTAAGAAGATGTTTTACTATAAAACTCAAGTAAGGAAAAATGGAAACTGGCATTAGGTATGTTAGGACTGGGCTATAGATCTTTTTATTTTCCCCTCCTACATCCTACATTTAAGAACATTCATTTACAACAAAGATGAAAAATTTTCTCCCTAATATGTGACCAAAATTCTTTTCTTTTTTTGTGATGAAAGTCAATAAAGGAAAAAAAACACTGTGTCTTAAAGATTAAATCTACAGAGTCTAGTCATCTAATTGTTTTTAAGAGAGAATAATTTTTACATTTAGTTAATAATTTTAGCTAACAAATTAAAAAAAAACAAACAACCAAGAGATTCTTTTTGGTGTTACAGAATGTGTAGCCACCCTGACCTATAGTCTTGGTAGTGGGGTAGGAGAGATAAAGGAAGAGATGAAGAGATAGCAACAAAAGAGGAAAAGATAGGTGAAACCATGTGCTTCAAGTAAGAAAAGACAACGACCAGGGAGTGGGGCAGCAGTGGACAGAGACCATCTTCCCTGGGCAACAACCTCCCAACTGCTGACCTTCCAGGAGATATTTACATTTATAATAATTTTAGCTAACAAATTAAAAAAAAAACAAACAACCAAGAGATTCTTTTTGGTTCTACAGAATGTGTAGCCACCCTGACCTATAGTCTTGGTAGTGGGGTAGGAGAGATAAAGGAAGAGATGAAGAGATAGCAACAAAAGAGGAAAAGATAGGTGAAACCATGTGCTTCAAGTAAGAAAAGACAACGACCAGGGAGTGGGGCAGCAGTGGACAGAGACCATCTTCCCTGGGCAACAACCTCCCAACTGCTGACCTTCCAGGAGATGATGCCCAAGCCCTGGGCCAAGCCATGCTATGGTGCCAGAGTCATCACTGGGGACACAGTTGCCCCATGCTTGTCCTGACCTGGCCCAGGGTGCAGAATCCCTTACTCGGGACACGGCCATCAAGCTCAGTTGTGGGAAAGCCTTGGAGCCTCAGCACTGACAGCAGTGAATCTGGCACGTGTGGGAAGGCGGCCCCGGGGCCCGGAACATGGCCCCCTTCATCACCCTTCAGCACCACACGAAGGCCCTGCAAGGGTGGACCCACTAAGGAAGTCGCCATACAACCTGGGTTTCTAATGACTGCCTCTTCCATATTTCTCCTCTGGATTCTTAGAAAGCAATTCTACAAATTATACAAATATTAGGTATTACCCTGACAGAACAGGCTAAGACCAGAGTAAGGCCTTGCAATGTTGACAAAGTGTCCTCGAGGTGTCTCGGGGGCTGGGAAGTCCTATGAGGGAATTTTCTTTCGGTTATGCTGTGGTATGAACGCAGCCCCCCAAAAGGCAGGTGAGAAACAGCCCTTGATGCAGCAGTGTAGGGAGACGGGGCCTACAGAAGTGGCTACATCATGGGGCTTCTGCCCTCATGAATGGATTGATGCCAATTAATATAGGGCTGAGGATGTATGTTCATTCTCTTCTCTCAGCTCCCAAGATGATGCACCAGGAAGGCCTCTGCCAATGTGATCCCATGAGCTTAGACTCCCAGTCTTGATAACTGTGCGCCCATAGATTTCTGTTCACCTGGTGTCTCCTGTAGTCTGTCACTGAAGCACAAAACAAACTTTTCTTAGGATGCTAAGAAAGTCTCTGAGAAGTGGTATAAAAATGCAAACCAGAAATGGAGACAGACCAGGCAGAACCTGAGAAGCAGCAGAGAGAGAGGGGAAAGCACTGGCACATTCTCCAGGGGCCTGGGTAGAGGCTGTCTCTGCATCACCTCTGTGATGCACCTCTGGAGCTCTAAAGCCAGCACAGCCCAAGGCAAAGCCAGGGCCCCAATCCTATTAACTCTTGTCATCTGCTGTGGTTCCCTCACATATAAACAGGGCCAAGAAGACCACCCCTCCAAATGAAGACACAGCAAAGTAACAGAGGTCGGTCAACCTTAGCACAGGAACTGGCTGCCCAAAGGTGCCCCACAGATGACTGTGTCCTTGTCAACTACTCTTTTTTTCCATGCAGGAAGCAGTTTGATGTTTATGAAGCATTTGAATCATACTTTTTTATCCTGTTCCATCAAGACTTGAGCCTGGACAAATGTGGCCTCAACAGAAATGGCATAAAACCTGGAATATGGAAGTCTAAGGAATAGACAGGCAGAATGAAGGAGTGCTTTGTATAGTTATATGTGCCTATCTTTTCCTTCTTTTTTTTTGGTACCAGGGATCAAACTCAGGTCCTTGCATCTGCAAGGCAGGTAGCAGAACCACTGAGCTAAATCGCCCTTTTCCTTCTTTTTGAAGCACTCTCTGTTTTTCATGGATGTAATGCTATTAGAAAGTACAGCAGTCTCTCTTATTCATGGTTTTGCTTTCTGCAGTTTCAATTCTCAACTACAATCCAACAGTTAAATGGGAAATAACAGAATAAACGATTCATACATTTTAAATTGTGCCTCATTCTGAGTAGCATAATGAAATCTCTTGCTGTCCTCCTCCATCCTTCCTGGGAAGCAAGTCATTCTTTGTCCAGCAAATGCACGCTGTATATAATTCTCACATGTCAATAACTTAGTAGCACTCCTGCTCACCCCTGTCGTGCTGGTATGGTACACAGCTGGTATGGTACTACCTTGGATTTCACAAGGACACTACAGGGTCTTAGGATGTATCCCTATCAGATAAGGGGGACCACTGTATAGCATTATGATTTCTCATACAAACACAACTCAGAATTTTTTAAAAAATAAGAATGATAAGACTGACAAAGGCTTGTGCAATTAAATTCTCCATGAACAGCAAGAGATCTAGGGCTCTAGTGCTAGTTCTGCTGCCACAGCAAATCCACTAACAGGTCCCTCAGTTACGAGGCTGGCTTCTCCCTCATTCAGCACACACCTCATGAGCTTCACCAGGTACCGGCAACCACACCAGGGCTGGCGATGCAAGATGAATGCACCAGGTCCCAAGCCCCAAGGAGCCTTCTGGAGCGAGACTGACATGCCCAAATAACAATGCTATGAAAGGGTGTGTCAGAATAAAGAGCATCCAGAGTACAGAGATGAAAGCAACAGTTTTTGGGAGATGCTGGGTGATAAAGTGATACATACTGCTGTCATATTCAGCATCAAATCCCCTGAAAAGCTGCGTAAAGGTATATCCCAAGCCCCTGCTCCCAGAGCATCTGTCTCAGTAGCCTGAGATGGAACCAAAGAATCAGTGTATTCTACAAGCTGGTTGCTACCAGCTCACAAGGCCCTTCTATAAGGTTCTTTCTCCATCTCTGAAATGCCATGATTACTCGAGTGAGTCCAGAAGTTCAGCGAATGATCTTTTCCAATGTTGTGTGATGTCTAAGTGGACATGGAAACACACACAGGTTCTAAGGCAATTATGTTCTGCCCCTCCCGGGGAGGCAACTGCTCAGGGCTTAGAGACCATGAGCACTTCAACAAGACCAGAGTCATTTATGATCAAGATGAGACCCCAGTTCTGAGAATCAGTTTACTTGCCCTAGTTCCAGACCTATATTTTTCTATACTCTCTTCTTGAGGAACTGCAAAATATCTTCACTGGAAAAGATTGTGGGATTTTGCCACCAGCCAATAGTTATTCATGAAAATATTTTGTATGGCTCTATCTTTACTCTAAAATCTGATATCCAAGTAATTTGGAACAAATAAATGGTTTAGGGGAAGGATTACTGTGTGCCAAGTTTCAGCAGCAAATGCTTCCTGGCCAGTTTATAAACTTTCAAAAAGACTGCTGGCATGTGCGGGAGAAACATTACCCACTGTGTTTAACACTTCCCAAGTGAACTTTGGAACATGAAATGTAAAATTTTCAAACTGTAAGGAAGTCTTCGGTATTAAATTTTTGTGAAGTCAACAGATTTGGCAATTATTTACTTGATTTTTTTTTCAAGCCAGCTCAGGAAAAGGCTTGAATAAAATATGCATTTCTAACATGACATATTACAGATTTCTTCTCATCCTTAACATTTTGCTTTCTGTCATGTTTCAAAATTAGTTGAAATAGATTCTATTTAGGGATTGAAGAAATGGTGTTAGAGAAATAATCATTTCTCTTCAGCTGTCATTTGCACCTGAGACATTGTTATTAAGAGAAGTCATTTTTTAGAAGGCTTTGCATAATGCACAACCTCCCCTTGGCAGGAGATGAGGAGATCCAAGCATCTCTAAGCCTCTTCCTATATTTGGTGAAGCTCAGGGTGGAAGCTGGGATCAGTAGACCTGAATCCAGCATTGACTAGCTCTGTGATCTAATGCATGCTCCTTAAGCTTTCTGTGTCTGTGTTGTCTCAGGACTCCTGCCTGGGATAGATACCGCACCTCAAAGGTAGGGAGACAGAATAGGTTGAAGTCTAGAGTAGGATTCATGAACTCTGAATCCAGTGACCATGCCACCTCTGGTCACTGACTCCTCTATGCCTCGGTTTCCCCATCTGTAACAGTATGGATGCTGGTTCCAGATGACTCTTTGCTACCCCGTCATTCTCTAATTCAGTGAACACAATTAAATGATCGGGGACAAAGTTCTAGTGGAGAAAGACCCTAATAGAGATACTGAGAAAAGTAATGCCCAGGAAAGAAAAGCAAGTCTTCCTGGGGTGAGAAAAGAGATTGGCCCTGGCAGCTCCACTCCTGGGTGACCCCTGTGGGGCAGGGGGAATCCAAGGGTGAATCTGGGCTGCAGCTGCATGTGACTTGCCTCCATGCCAAGCTGCTCAAGGACTGGGGCTGTGTCAGTTTATCTTTACCTCCAGTACACGTAACCCAAGATAATCACCAAATGGAAATTGCCAAGAGAGTAGGAATATTATGCTTCATTAAGAAAATTACCAAAATTGTCCAGTAATAAGCAACAAAATCCAATGTATGTGGTGCCGTGGTATTGAAGTATATGCTGGACGATCAGAGCAAAGTACAGACCAATCAAGGCCTGGTCTATGAATGAGGGTTTAACTCTGACCCATCACTCTGAAGATGGAGAGCGAAGGCTGCAGCCGACGTGGTGACCTATAACAGCACGAATGTGATTTTACAGTAGGTCTCACGGCTTCCCAGAGAAGTGTAAGTAATTGAAGAGTCAGAACAAGATGCTGTCTACTTTTAAACACAGGAAGGGGGGTAACAGTTGCAAACAGAGAAGCCCTGCAGGTTAGAGATACAGCTCCAATGGACTCCATGCCCTCAAACTGAAGGGAAATGAGGCTGTCTACAGAACAGAAGCTGGCATCAGAAAAAGGCAGAAATGCCCAGGTAATAGAGAAACCACTTTTCTTTTAAAAAAAAAAAATCATTTAATTGTGACTTTTCCCAACTAATATCCTGAATATCCTGTTATCAGGATTTACAAAGGTTCACTGCAGGAATCTTCATATTACTATGTACCACAATGGACTGCTTCAATGTCTCAATTCTTTGTTTAAACACCCAGACTTCTTCCTTGGGGACAGCACAAATTTATGCTGCTAATTATTTCTAAAATAATGTCACTTCTGCTAAATAAACAGAACCTTTTTAAATAGAAATTAAGCATTTCGGGGCTCTCAAGGGTTATTCTTGCAGATACTTCTCCATGCTAGCAAAAGAACCCAAGGCTAATAAGATACACGGTAATTACAACATGCCTGGCTGAGAGACATTCTTCTGCATGTAAATATTTTATTGAACTAGCACCATGAAATGGTACGTGCAGAGCAAATTACTGCCTCTGGGAACCTTAGGGGATCTTAACTACTTCTCATTAATCAGTCCCTCTTGCTTTTTGTACCTAGAACGGTGTTTCAAGAGACCAAAAGCCATTAAAAAGGAAAATGCCCCTGAAAGATGGTTATTAACACTATTTACCAAGAGGAAGCATTACTGATATTTCAAATGCAGCATGCATGACAGTCAAAAAACTTACCTCAATGACCTGTTGGGGCAGAAGCAACTAGTCTAAAGAGAAATCACAAGTTACATCTACTCTAGTAAGCTGGTAAAAAGACATTCCATTTTACCTCATTCTCTGGGGTGGGAGATGGCGTTACAGAGCTAAGAGACCCTTTCCTAGAACCCTGAAGATCTGCTGGGATGGTGACAGGCCGCTCCCACTGAGTAGTTCCTGTTGGGATGTGCCAGTAATAGGTACCAGCAATGTCACTGATTCTTTTCCAGCCAGGCGGAAGATCCGGATCTGTGTGAAATGAGTGATCACTCCAGATATCTGCTGAGAAATGGAAAAAAGAAAAGGTTTTATCAAAGGAGAAAATAGCCTTCCAATTTTAGTACCAATCACTGGGCAAACCTTACAGACACAGGCTAAATGAGACAAATTAAACCATCCTGTGGATGCAAGGTATGGTATAAGGGTGATGAAGAAAAGAACAAAACATGGGAAGGACTGGGAAAGCACGTTGACACTTGGAATATGGACATAAAGGCCTTATTATCAAGTCATCCCACATGTCCATGAACCTGATGAAAAAGCTAATATATGAACCAGAATCAACTACCCATGAAAATTTCACATGGTTATACATGGGATCTATTGCATCCTTTTGTAAATTAGTAAGATTTACTGACTAGCATAATATATCATTCCCAGCTATGAGTATAATTTTCTGTAACTACTTTCTATAAATGATAATATTTATATTGACTGTAAACATCCACAAAGCAGTAATGTCTTTTCTAATATTCAAGGATTCTAAACTGCACACAGAACATTCCCAGGGAGAGCACACTGGAAAGGTCTTGGAATCAATAAGGGAACCAGTCTGATTCTAAGAACAGGCCAGAAATGTAATTCATGCAGTGATGGTTGTGAGAGACAAGAAAGAATGGTGGGGAGTACAGCAAAAAAGCAAGTGTTCAAAATCCAAATGCACCTGAATTGCACTGTGGGTACAAAATAAAACACATCCACTGGACAATTTCAGTCACACCTGGTGTATTTCAATTTTTTATCAGTTTACTGAATAACTAGTTGCTTTTAAAAATCTTACTCTTGTTAGATTCATTCATAGGAAAATGGATACATATTGAGGATATACTCCTAAGTGAAATAAATAAGTCACACGTATAAATACTGAATAGTTTCTCTGGTGTGAATAAACTATAATAGTACATACGATCCTAGTGATATAATTGACAATGTGAAATAGGAAGAAAGAGGCTAAAGGTGTAGGGAAAGTGGGATGGGTAGGGGAAAGGTAATAAGGGAAAAATATGTGAGAAAATGAAAAAATGGAAATAAAGTGTTTGTAAAAGGATGCTGGGATGGTGACAGGCCGCTCCCACTGAGTAGTTCCTGTTGGGATGTGCCAGTAATAGGTACCAGCAATGTCACTGATTCTTTTCCAGCCAGGCGGAAGATCCGGATCTGTGTGAAATGAGTGATCACTCCAGATATCTGCTGAGAAATGGAAAAAAGAAAAGGTTTTATCAAAGGAGAAAATAGCCTTCCAATTTTAGTACCAATCACTGGGCAAACCTTACAGACACAGGCTAAATGAGACAAATTAAACCATCCTGTGGATGCAAGGTATGGTATAAGGGTGATGAAGAAAAGAACAAAACATGGGAAGGACTGGGAAAGCACGTTGACACTTGGAATATGGACATAAAGGCCTTATTATCAAGTCATCCCACATGTCCATGAACCTGATGAAAAAGCTAATATATGAACCAGAATCAACTACCCATGAAAATTTCACATGGTTATACATGGGATCTATTGCATCCTTTTGTAAATTAGTAAGATTTACTGACTAGCATAATATATCATTCCCAGCTATGAGTATAATTTTCTGTAACTACTTTCTATAAATGATAATATTTATATTGACTGTAAACATCCACAAAGCAGTAATGTCTTTTCTAATATTCAAGGATTCTAAACTGCACACAGAACATTCCCAGGGAGAGCACACTGGAAAGGTCTTGGAATCAATAAGGGAACCAGTCTGATTCTAAGAACAGGCCAGAAATGTAATTCATGCAGTGATGGTTGTGAGAGACAAGAAAGAATGGTGGGGAGTACAGCAAAAAAGCAAGTGTTCAAAATCCAAATGCACCTGAATTGCACTGTGGGTACAAAATAAAACACATCCACTGGACAATTTCAGTCACACCTGGTGTATTTCAATTTTTTATCAGTTTACTGAATAACTAGTTGCTTTTAAAAATCTTACTCTTGTTAGATTCATTCATAGGAAAATGGATACATATTGAGGATATACTCCTAAGTGAAATAAATAAGTCACACGTATAAATACTGAATAGTTTCTCTGGTGTGAATAAACTATAATAGTACATACGATCCTAGTGATATAATTGACAATGTGAAATAGGAAGAAAGAGGCTAAAGGTGTAGGGAAAGTGGGATGGGTAGGGGAAAGGTAATAAGGGAAAAATATGTGAGAAAATGAAAAAATGGAAATAAAGTGTTTGTAAAAGGAGAGGGGAGGAGGGGGTGAAGGTAGGGAAGGGACAAGGGGAAGAAATAAGAACCAAGACCTGCCATGTAATGGTACAAACTCCCAATGATGAATGTAACTGTACTGTATACCCAAAATGTACCAATAAACTCAATGAGCGAAAAATAAATAAAAATCTTACTCTTGGCCTTCTTTGAATTGAATATGAAACAGATAAAAGTGCTAGAGAAGAGAGGCAACAGAAAAAAATTTCCTATATGTAGAGGTAATCAGAGAAGATTCACAAGCAGCTGTAGCAGCATAGCCAGAAAGAAAAACTAAAACTTGAGTTCTCATCCTGAGCATCACTTTATTCTAAGGGTTCAACCTTTTTCTAAATGGCCTATAAAAAGCGATCAGATAGCTTTACCACAGTTCAAATGAGAACATGTGTGGGCCTTGATATGTGCAAATGTCACTGTATCATGTGGGCAGGCATCACAGAGCTGTTCTAGCCACAAGAAGAAAAAGGGGCATAGACAAAGAGGCTGATTAAGACCAAGAGCACAGGTGCTCATTCTTGCAGTTGTCTGGCATTCCAGCATCCACTTTTCTCATTTACATTTGCCAGAGGCAAAACTGCCACTAGTCTCAAATTATGACGAATCCCCCCATGGGAAAATTAAGCATGATTCTATAATTTCAAGTTAACCAGATTTTGCAGACAACTCTAACTACATGTGTTTATGCTTTTGTTTCCTGTCCTTTTTTGAGGCGGTGGAGAGGTCGTTTTTGCTATTTTGTTCTCAGCATCTCAACAGGGAGAGGAGAGGTAAAATATATGCTTTAGGAATTAAGCTGGAAGGGCTAGCAAGTGAGTTCCTTTACCCCATATTCTAGTGCTCACACACAAGAAGTTCTGGGGCTACAGAAAGGTCACACAGAAGCTCCTAGTTACCACTTCCAGGGTAAGGGGGTCCTAGGGCTGAGCTGTCTTTACTGGTAGGGCGCTGGCATGTGTAAAGAATACCTACATGCAGCATCAGCACATGAAATCATGCCAGACCAAGGACAGTGCATTTCAGGTTTGGATGCCTGGGGAGGTAGCTTGAGGGCAGCAGAAAAGAGGCTTCATGCTGGGCTGGCAGGAACTGGGTTGTTCTATCCTGAACCAAACCTACCCACTTTTATCTGGTTTATATGCTAAGTTCACACTGAGATTTCGTTGGAATAACAAAATCCGCAGAAAGCCCTAGGATATTTAAAAACACCTCAAGTCACAATATAATAGATAACCTTACATATCCACCAGCGCAGCAAAAATTAAAAGTATTGTAATTTCAGTTATTAGTGGGCATTTAAAACAATGAGAACTTGTATATGCTGCTCACAGAAGGGTAATTTGAGATAATCACTTTGAAAATAAAATAGGAGTACAGTTCTTAGCACAACTGAAGATATCTCTATGACCCAGCAAGTCCACACACAGAATATATCCTGGAGAGCTGATGTGTTGAAGTCATAAGAATATGATTAAAAGAGCCAAAACCTCAAAATGAGCCAGACAACCATTCATAGCAGAATGAATAAATAAATTACAGCCGAATAAATAAATAACAAAAATGAGCCAAGTACAGGTGCACACAACAACATGTATGAATTTCACAAATACACCACTGATGAAACAAAGGAAAACGAAAGACAGCATATGTGCTACACTTCCATTCATATAGTTTAAAAACTAAATTACATTACTTAGGGATATAAACATAGCCGGTAACAGAAACAGAAAACTATAAAGAAATGCAAGAATGCAGCTATAAAAAAAATACAGACTAACAAATATCTGAAAGTGGGGGTTGAGAAGAGAGAAGAGAATTGATCAGAAAAGGTATATCCAGGGCTTCTGTGATATAAGAAATGTTTTCTTTCTTGACTTTGGTGGTGGAGAATGCATGTTCACTTTGTAATTATTTGTTAAACTATATGTCTATTCCCCCCTCCCTTGTTTCCCTTCCTCCTTCTTTTTTCTTTCCTTTCCTTCTCCCCCATCCCCAAAATGATGAAGTGAAAAATATTTCATAATTTGGGTCTGGGGCTTTCATTAGAAAAAACAATTCCCCACTCATGAAGGACAGAACATTTTCCTACACTGCCACAATTCATGCTCACATCAATCCCAGCTGGAAGGCAAGGCTGGATCCAGGACTGTCGGGGCTGAAAACCAAGGGCCATTCTGCTGCTGTGATATTATAAAAACTACTGACAATAAAAGGACACTGAGGCTCGCCAGGCACATCACACACCCATCAATGCAGGGACACAAGGGGCATTCACAGCCCCAGGAAAGAGGCACCACTGTTAACCCATTTCTAAGGCTCAGAGAAGGCAGCAGATAGGTATAAAGCCAAGGAGGACAGCTGTTCTGAAGCAGAAGTTGATTTTAGTTTTTCAGAGACCTGAAGGACAACCACTATAGACAGCCTGGGGAAAAAATAAAATGTGTAAACAGGAATAAAAACAAAATCCAAAGCAAAGCAATGACTGCAAGGCTGAAATTATAAGTCCAGCAGCCGACTTCACCAAGGTCAAGTAGGTATTAAACAATGGCCCCGAGCCACCCTGGCACTATGGGTCCAGTGACATAGGTACACTTCCACGGCAGGCTGTGTGGCTCTCTCTCTCGTGTGCCTCTCTCTCCTGGACCTTTCATAAGGCTGGCTAGGCACTACAGCTGGCCAGGGCTTGGCAAATCCCTCCAGCTAGAAGCTGAGAGACCAGATCTACCCTCAGGTACACTGTGCAG